GAAGAAAAAATACTATTGTGCCCTTATGTGCAATTTTCACCCAACTACATTCTAGTATTTTCACCAACTACATTCAACATTATTGCCAACTGCATTTAGTATTTTTTACCTGCATTTATCATTTTATTATAGATTTTTTTAATAAAAAATATAAGTGTTCATTTTATTATTATTTTTTATATATATCCGTATTAGTTTTATTTTTTTACCTTTTATTATTTTTTTATTATTTTTTATTTTTAAAATGTTTTTAATTTTTTAATTTTCTTAATTTTTTTAATTTTTTAATTTTTTAATTTTTAATTTCTTAAATTTTTTAATTTTTTTCAATTTTTTTAAAATTTACTGTACCGAAATTGACTACACATGACTATAGTATACCACAGTCACGTATAGTTATATATACTCATATATCTTCTTTTTACTCTGAAGTTATGTATAGGCATGTACCTTCTTTTTACCCCAAAATTATATATAGTCATGTACAATTATATATACAGTCGATCGATTACATTGACCGCTGATTATATACAAAAACAATACTTCATCGACACCAACGACAAAAATCACAATTTAAATCTTGATATTATATATCAACTTGTATAAATATAGATATACACAATCACATGCATATATTCTTCAACAACAAAACAAATCATGATCATCACTCTACATTGAAAAAACCTACATAATTCTTGGGCCTTCTACCCCAACAGTTCATCTGGGTTCTTATCTGCATTATTCTCTGGGCCTAGGGGTGGTAAACAAGCCGAGCCGGCTCGCGAACTCGACGAGCCGGCTCGAAAAAAGCTCGAACTCAAGCTCACGAGCTCGAGCCCAAAATTAGTTGTTCGACAGCTCGCGAGCTGCCTTCTATTTTTTTTTTCTTTTCTTTCTTTATATATATATATATATATATATATATATATATATATATATATGTGGGGTATATATATCTTAATATAAGGAGGGGTATTATTATTATTATGAACGCGCGCGCGCGCGCGCGCGCGCGCGCGCTATATCTAGCGCGCGCGCGCGAGAGCGATCTATATTACTTAAATAATTTATAATAAGATAAAATATTATCATAATAATAATAATAGAAAAACTAAAAAAAATATATATATATAACTAGAGTTCATTATTTATTTTATATTTTATTTTATTTTTCCTATGAATAATTTTTATAAAAAATAAATCGAGCCGAGCTCGAGCTCGAGCTCGCCAAAATTGGCTCGAGCTCGAGCTCGAGCCAAAAAAAATTGGCTCGATGAGCTTGAGCTCGGGAACATGGACTCGAGCTCGAGCTCGAGCTGGCCAAAAGAGCCGAGCTCGGCTCGTTCCCACCCCTAATCCAGACATGACCACATGTTACTATATGTTACTATATATGACTATAGTAACATGTTACTATATGTTACTATATATGACTATTGTAACATATAGTAATGTTACTATATATGACTATATATGACTATAGTAATCTATAGTGGTCTTCTATACTTTGAATGAGTTTGACTTCATAGCGCACTTCTCCCCATCATTCCTCACTGTATTAGAAGTAGCAAAAACAACAATCCTCTAGGAAAAAAATACGAGTTAGAAAAAAAGAACATAAATTGCAAAAATCCGCCATAAGCAAGCCTAATTTTAACATTACCGAACATAAAAAAAAAAAAAAAGGAAAATTTTGAAAAAGCAATTGTGGCACTGAGTACAAGCAAAATCAAACTCATAATTCACAAACAGGTAGTACAAAGAAAATACATATAGTAAAGTTGCCAGACAAAATTCTGCGCATTTTCATAAAGAAGAAAAGAAAAGGACAAATTTACAGTAATTTGAATAATAAAGGAGTGAAGATGAGAACAAATAATTGGAGATTGAGCTCTTAAACCCACGAAAACTTTGCTGGCACAACTCTAATTAGGAATAATTGAGAAATTGGAACTAGAAAATTAATCTTCAATTTTTGAGAGAACATAAAAAAAAAACAGATCATAGTACAAAGAAAATACATATACTAATCAAATCAAAGCAAAGCAAAACATATTGTTTGCAAAGAATCATTAGGTGCACCGTGCACCCATTTTAGCCCCCACATCATTTGATTCCCAAATTAGTCAAAAGTCAGCATAATTCAAATTCCCAGCAAACACAACCCCCCCCCCCCCAAATTTCACTTTGAAAACAACGCACAAACAAATAAACCAGATCCTAAAATAAAAAATAAAAGGTGGAATCTAAACTAAAACAGATAAAACCAGAACCTAAACAAAAAACTTTTCTGGAGATTCTAGCACTCGGAGGAACGGCGATGCAAGTGAAAGGTAGAACGGCGGTGGGCGACGGTGGGCGGCGGTGTGGCGCTGATCGGCGGTGGGTGGCAGAGTGGCGGTGGGCGGCGGAGTGACGGTGGATCTAGAGAGATGGAAGAGAATGAGAGTTGGGAGAGAATAGAAACATGAAAGTTTGAGAAAAGTAGGCGAGAAGAGAAAAAATGGTTTTTGGACTGCTACTAAGGGTAAATTGGTCATATCACTTAAATTCAGGGGGTCTAACAAATTAAGTTCTAAAATTGGGTTTTTGCCTAGGGAAGAAAAATTCATTGGACCTATACATATATATTTTCAAAATTAGGGGGTTATCCCTCATTTTCCCTCGAAGAATACATAAACATGACTATAGTCATATTCGAACATGACTGTAGTCCTGTTATTGCTGTTGTTCAGATCTGAAAAAAAAAATCGAAAAATACATAAATATAGATAGAAAAATAACGAAGGAGAGTCATGGGGAGTCGACGACAACGACGATGGTGGTTGTGGTGAAGGAAAGAGAGTGAGAGAGGCGGCGACGGCGGTGGTGGTGGTGATGGACAAATGTGGAAAAAAAAATAAAAAAATGAGAAAGATAACGAAAAAGAGAGAAAGAGCCGTACGTGGAAATGAAGGAGGAGGCGGCGGCAACGAGCGACGACGGTAATGGTTGTGTACAAATCTTTTTGGAGACGATGGCGATGTAAAGAGAGAGAAATCGAGAGAAACAACGAACACGGGAAAATAATAAATCACTAATCGAGTGAATCAGCAATAGTCATATTCGAACCAGAGTAGTCACGTTGATGCTGTTGTTTCAGATCTGGAGAGAGAAAAAAAATAAAAAAAAATAAAAAAATCGAAAATAACGAAAGGGAGGGAGAGGGAGGCGACGACAACGACGGTGAATGACAGAGAGAGTGGGGATGTGGCTACGATGGTGGTGGTGAACAAATCTGGAAAAAAGAAAAAAAAAAAAACCCTGAGAAATCGAGAGAAAACGAAAAAGGGAAATCTCCATGTAATGCATCCGACGAAGGGCGGCGACGAGGTGGGGGAGGCACCGCTGCCCCCACTTGTACGAAGGAGGGCCTCCTGCATTAGGTTTCGGCCGACCGGCGGTTGTAAGGTATTTTTGGCTCCGACGGTGACGAGTGCACGAACAACGGTAACTATGATGAGTGGACTACGGCGGTGGTGTACAGATCTGCAGAAAGTCGGAAAAAGAGAGAAAAAAAAAAAAAAAAAAAAAAAAAAAAAAAAAAAAAAAAGAGCTAGGCAAGATTGAGAACGATAGAGAGAGAGAAAGAGAGAGGGGAGAGTGAAAGAGTGAAATAAATCATATCACGTTAAAAACCTAATCACATAAGGGCACTTGAGCCTTATCATGATTGGTTAGGGGGTCTCACTAATTCGGAATGAACCTTGAGCGTAGGCAAAAGTCTCTAATAGTCACTTGGATTTAGCTCAAAATATCGTGCATTTGAGGGGGTATTGCATATTTCCCCTAGTTTAATATTAGGTTCCTTAGTTATGTCGAATACCCCATGAGATATCTGTACCTTATAGTATAATGCCCTGATGTTGTGGAGTGTACAATTGTGGACTTACCCAATTTTTTTCACGTGTATTACAAGTTTCATAATGGTGATAACTTTATGAAGGCTATTATTTTAACCAAAATTTCCTTTAAGTCCTAAAATTACTTCGTTATTATGTGTGATTGAAATCTCTTCGAACGCCTAAGAAACAAGATTTTCAAATTTTATTACTTTTTCAATAAATTAAAGTCAAATTATAATTTACGACTACCATGGATAATTGCGATACATATAATATTACCCGCGGACAACAAAAAAGCGTAATACTTTCCATAAATTAAAAATAGCCAAGACGTGTTTTATTATCATTCATCGGCAAAATCTCGTTATTTGATTATCGATTCAATATTACAATCATTGCACTTGCTATATGAGAAAAATAGACGCGTGCCAGTTTCCAAAACAAACGAACAACGGCCTCTATAAATACGACGCATGCCCGTTCATAGTTAAATCAGCAATACAAGAATACAGAAGAGCGCAGTTCTATATAATATATATCTCACTAAGCATATATTCATATAGTTTCTTCAAAGTGTTCAATTAGCTTTCTCTTTGTCAAAATAATGGGTTATCAAACTAGCATATATGGTTATGCAATATTGATGTTATTGCAATTTTTTCTCCATCACCGGTAAGTTTTTTATTTTATTTTATTTTTTTGATTTCTATTTTTATCCATTTCGTTCGATTATTAATTATTCTATTCGTATTTGGTAACTTGAAGATTTAATTTTGAATATATATATATATATATATATATATATATATATATATATATATATATATATATATATATAATTTTTTTATTTTTTATTTTTTACCTTTTTGTTAATTTGGTAAGCAAATCATTACATGAAAATAATGACTAGAATCTAGAATCAAGATTTATCAAATGAGATACATGCATAATCATGCAGTTGACTATAAATGGACGTAGAATGCCCTAATTCAAAATCAGATTGCCAAATCCTATACTCAAATTTTTTTTAAATAAAATGTTAAATTATCGTTACCAAAATAAAGAAATTATAAATGTGTAAATCGAAATCAGATTGAATCATATATATCTCACACAATTTCACTATAAATACCCCACAAACAAACGTAGATCATACACACACAGTACACACAAAGAGCAAAGTTTCATTTCATACATAGAATAATTCTCTGCAACTTAATTCTAATATTCTGTTCAACAATGGCGGGCAGGCAAACGAGGGGGCGACAGAGAATCCCGATCAGGCTGATCGAAAACCAGGACGATCTGTACGCCACCTTCTCGAAGCGGCGATTGGGGCTTTATAAGAAGGCAAGCGAGCTGAGCACGCTTTGTGGTGTGGACATTGGTATAATTATCTTCTCCCCTACCGACAACCCTTTCTCCTTCTTCCATCCGTCGATGGAGTCGGTCATCGACCGATTCCGGAACCCCAACCAGCCCCTCAGCGACTACGCTCGGGTGGTTGAGGCTCACACACGCGCCCGGATCGATAACCTGAACCGGCGCCTAGACGAGATCCATGAGGAGAAGGACCGCCTCAAGGAGAGGGAGAAGGAGCTCGACGAAATCGACCGGAATCGGCCGAAAGGGTGGTGGGAGGATACCCCGATCGAGAGCCTCTCGCCGGAACAGGTCCTGGAATGGAAGGCGTGGTTTCGCGCCTTCAAAGTTAAAATCCAGAACCGGATCTCGGAGCTCAACAATGGAGCTTCCACTTCCGGCGCCGGCGCCGCCGCCGCGGCGGATGCGGCGGCGGCGGCGGTGCCACCTCCGACGACTGGAGGCGAGATAGTTCCGGGCATGTTTGCTCAGAACTACGACTTCCCTCCGGGGCCGTCGTCGTCGTCTTACTCTCCGGTGGCATTCGGGGATCACCAGTTTGCCACCACACAGTACTACGATGCGCCGCCGTACGCTTCGGGCGGTGCGAGTGGAAGCGGCAGCGGCGGCGGCGGAGGACAGTACTTTGTTACTCAGGCGGGGGAGGGGCCGTCTGGTAGTTGCAGCGGGCAGTTTTCTGTCCCGTACAATTTTGGTGCTCCTACATTTGGAGCGGAGGGTTCGTCGGCGGCGGCGGCGGCGGGGGCTGGAGGAAGTGCCGGTGGTGGCCAGTTTCCTCCGATGCAGTACAATTATTTTACACCACCACCGCCGCAACAACCGGATCTTGATAATCAGAATCAGGATCCGACATCAGCTACTGTAGGAGAATATTCCATACAGTATAATTATATTCCCCGGTGGGGGCAGGATCCATCTTCTGGTGGAGGAGCCGGTCCTTCCCACCGTGGGAATATTTAGGCTTTTTTTTTTTTTTTTTAAATAAAATTTGATTTGTTGTATTTGATTTGTATTTTGTTGACAATGGTTTGTTTGCATTAATTAATGCATGGTTTTTTTGTTGTTGTTACTTACTTTTTTTAACGTATAAATAACTTGCATGGTTTTTTTTGTATTAATTAATTACTTAATTAATTAATGTATGGTTTTTTTAACGTATAAATAACTTGCACCAAAAGGCGAAATCCCTCGCCCCCAGGGCCCCCATCCCTTGGCCCGACAAGGATTGATGGAGGAATGTAAATCATGGTAACTCAACGGCCCGTTAAGGTAGCGGACCCGGACCTGGTGCCCACAAGGAACCAATCTCATTTGCATTTTGAGTGTGTCTTTGTTATCTAAAAGGTTCCTCTAATTTTATAAAATAATAATTATTAATTTATCAATCAATTAATATTTTACCAAATTAATAAAATTTCATAGTCCAAAATTTATTTAATTTATATAAGTTTAATTGTATATAAATATTTGAAAAACATGTACTCGGCCATAAAAACAACCAAATTAATTAAGAGAAATAAAAGTGTCAAGATGCTTTTGTAAATACAAGAAATGAAGAGAACAAATTATTTACATCATGTTGAACATGTAATTTAATTAGATGTTACATACGGTTATTTACACTGGATGATTTCAACCGCAGAAAAATCATAGATCTACACATAATCATACACAAAAAAAATAGCTGGAGGATTTTTTTTTTTTTTCCTATTGTAAAATATTTCTTTGTGATAAAAAGTAAAAACTATATTTTTTAAATATGTTGATGAGATAGATGTATTTATACATGATTTAATTTGTTTCCAGGGTGCAAAGTGCTATTAGTTTTTTTTAAGGGATCAAAATGTCAAAAAACTATATTTCAAGGGTGCAAAGTTCAATTAAACCATGAATAATGATGGTTCTTGTTTTTGTTTTTTTTTCCCTTCTTGAAAATAGTTAGTTTTTAATAATCCATTAGAGATTATTTATACTTGATTACTATACGATATAACAAATCTATAGGCCTTACTTTAAGAGGAAAATTATAAACGTCGATGGATAAACTAAGAATGTCTAAGTAGACAAACAATCTCCGACAATCTGACCGATATACGATAATGTATATAGAAGTACACCATTACAAAAAAAAATGCAATACACGAGTCTAATCACAATCTACTAAATTCATTAAACTCCCGATCACAAAACATTCAAAGTAGCCAGTAATTTGACTTTGATGAGAATTAATGTAGATAAGAGAACAAAAGCAACTTAACGAAACCTTCAAAAACGGCATTGTGTGTTTTACTCGTCTCTTGGAGGGGAATCTAAACCAGCAGATGGAGTGTCGGCAAAGTATTCTTGATGTTTGACATTCACACCATACTGCAAAATGAACATGGAATTTTTTTTCATGTTTAATATCAATGAAAATAAATAATTCATTTTCAAATAACGAAGAAAAATAAAATATACGCGTTTCTCAAAGTTACCTCACTCAGAGCCTTGGAAAGATCCTCCATTGTCAAGATCAGACGCTTATCCTGTTAAGAAGTTAGCGTTAAAACTATCGAACGAAACATAGGAATCAATATAGAGCACGATTCTCGGACCTTTTGTTGTTTATCTCTTTTGTCCTTGATTATAGTCGACTGTCTTGCCTTGCATTGCCTGCATATTCAGATGCAAGAAAACATTGTTCAAAATAAATATACTAAGTGCAAATAGCCAACAAACTAAAATGTATATAAAATGGTTTCAGAGAAAGAAACAATCTTCCGCAAAGTCGAATTAGCATCAGATGAAGAAAAAAACACATACTGAAGAGCATCCGTTGCCACGTCAGCGATGAATTTCTGAGTAGCCACAGCAACCAGCCTTGTCCTATGGAAATAAAAGATACCATCATCCACCAAAATAATATTTGCATTGACAAACACAGAAAGCAAGAGAGAACAACAAAAATATATAGCTATCAAATTTTAAATTATTTAAACGGGAAAAACTGAAAACACAAAAACAAAACAGTAAAATAGGCAGCTTAACCATATATATAACACTGATATACCTAATTCGGCTCAAACTTATTCACTCCCAGCACTCTGTTATTCAATGTGTTCCTAATCCAACGATGTTTAATCAATCATCTCAATCAGCAAACCATAATTATCCAGCAAAGGTTTCATTGATTTGTAAGAACCGCAAAAATTCTTGAGAAAACTCAACTCTCTCTCCAAGCCACTAATTGTTCGATATAATTCTGTATTTCATCACAATTTTGCCTTCTCTTTGATATTCTTGTCCAATTCAAGTATAAGACAAATTTGTTACATATCTAATACTACCCTCTTCATATTTTCTGCGATCCGATAATGACTTGAAAAGGTTGAATTATTACTAAAGAATTTCATATTTATACGTTTCTGCTCAATACATAACTTATCTTACTGGTAAATTCCAATACAGAAATATAAAATCACCATCGAAACTGGAAGAAGCAAATTTTTTTTTTACGAGCAAGTATAACGAAAATGGATTTTTTTTCGTCATATTTGATATATGTTCTAGATGCATCTCGTTACAAAATTTTGGAAACGGTGATATAGACGAGAACCAAATGTTTGAAAATCGGTAAAATGGAACAAGTAAGAACACGTGCACTCAGCGAAAAAGTCGAAAATGAAGACGAAGAAAAACATAGCTAATTAAACTCCAGATGAATGATTATAACATTGTAAAAACTAACCTAAAAACTCACTTTTGGAGAAACTAAGTAAGATCGGAAAATCAATTCAAAGTAATGTAAAATCAAACTTCAATCCCTTTCTAGGGTAAAGTAGAGAGGGCAGAGAGTACCTACAATCGGATATCGGGGCACTGGAATCCACTTTTCGCCAAGTAATGCTCCACCAATTCATCAGGTATCTGCAAATTAATTCAATTACTCACAGGAATAAACACAATTACTGAATTTGAATCGGAGATTAGAGAAGATAATTACGGTGGGTGTGTAGTCCATTAGAGAAGCAAGGAATTCCGTCAGTGCGGCATCGTCGTCGTGGCGGCCGTCCTTTGGTTGCGGGTGGCTGGTTTGGCCGTTCATTACGCCCGGTTATTTCGGATTCTGTAAGCGCACGGCGGCCGGAAGGCTGCGCTTAGCGGAGTGACGACGGGGTACGGTGGCGTGAGAGAGGTGATTGTGAAAGACTAGAACTAAAATCTAAAAGCGTGCGTGGCTTAAATAAAAACTTATGGCTAAAGTTGTAATTTTCGATCATTATTAATTCATTAAATTTAATAAAAATCTCATAATTATATTAAAATTCCTCTTTAACAACTCGTGACTATATTTAAAAACATTACATTACAAGTATCGTATTGTTCGTCTGGAGAAAAAATGTATCTGATTGATCATAAAAATATATTATTGTACATTTAATTATATTTTAATTTTTGTAAGGTAATTAAAATTTTCAAAAATCGGAATCTTAAACATATTCCAAAATCTGATCTAAAAAAATACGAAAAAAATATCAAAAAACAATATTTTGGTAATTAAGAATGAAATATATAAAATCAGAAATGGAAATCGAAAATTCCACAGTAGTTTGTCCCGAGTGTTTTTGTGTGCAGGTTTTTTATTAACGCGCATTCATGTCCTGGTGTTGTAACTCGTGTTTCATGAAACACGAGCGTTTTTGCTCATACACTTTTGTGAGTATTTTTGTTCACAATTATGTACTTGTACTTTTATGCATGTTTTTTGTGCAAATACTTTATGCATGTTTGATGATACGTATTCATTTACTAATATTGTAATATTGCGCAAGTACATTTATGCATGACATACTTCTTGAACAATAAACTAATATTGTCCAACGACGATATAAAAAAAACACTCGCTTATATATGGGCGTATAAAACTCGCAGTGGACATCTTTCTTATTACATCGATCACTGAACCAAACGACACAAACCGAATTATTGTAATTATTAATCAGGCCTCCAGCAAGAACCAGGCTCTACAAATGTATGGCTAAAGACGAGAAAAATTCAACGCTTTTATTTCTGCTGACTATACCGTAAAATCCCATAAACATCGACAATGCCAGGTGGAAAAACGGGATCGCTTGCCGCTCTTACAGCAACTCTAGCAACAGCATTAACATTAACAGGAGGGGTTAATAGTGGCCCCACTAGCGGGATCTGGCTCAGTGGCTTAGCATGCTGCAGCACCTGCATAACATTTAGATATAACGAGTGTGTCATATTTAGTGTTAATAATTCGAGATTGAGCAGTGATTAGGATGTTAGTAATCAACTGCAGCGTGCAATTTTCGGGGAATGGGTCCCACCTTAACAGGCTAAACTAGATTCTTCCCGATATAAAGAGTTAAGGATTAATTCTATGGAAAGTTTATTTATTTTTTATTTTTTTAAAATAAAGGAAAATGAGGCTCACCATCTCCAAAGGAGAGCCAATCACGCCAAGTGGTAATTTCATGCTCCCAACACGACGAGTTCCATATATGAAACCAGGCCTCAGAATCACTCCTGTAAATAAAGAAGCATTTCCGATTATATTTGAGAGTATAGTTTCTCTGATTTTTGTGTTTCTGCACTTTGCCTAAACACACCATGTGTGTGTGTGTGTGTGTGTGTGTGTGTGTGAGAGAGAGAGAGAGAGAGAGAGAGAGAGAGAGAGAGATGAACGCACCTCCATACGCATACTTAGTGAGTAACTCTGTCTCAGCGGCTCTCTGCACCACAAGGTAAATTAAACAAGGCAAAGAAAAAAAAAACCATAGCTTGAAAAGGATATTGACAAATGGTAAGATAGCTGTAATAAATTGGATATCTGTTTTTTATTATAACAATGAGAAAATATTTAATTAAAATCAGCCTGCATCGGTTAAATTGAAATCTCGCAAAAATTTAAAGATTCTTATTTGGCTGGTAAGTTTACTCAATTATTCGTAACCAACAACTTAACATCAGCTTAAGGTAACTAGGTTCTGATATTACCTTCCCCTCATAGTATCCTTGTAGCAGGTAATTTACCACCCCAAAGTCAGCAGCAGAGATGTACACAAACCTCTTAACTCCTACATATTTGAAGAAAAAAAATGTAAGGCAAATTATTCTACACACACACACACACACAACGAGGGAGAGAGACAGAGAGTCCTACGAAAACACGAGATTAACATTAAAACAATACCTTCATCTGAAGCAGCCCTAATAGCGTTAATATTTGCGGTCCCATTAATTTTGTACATTTCTGAGTTGGAACCAAAACCACCAACACAAGAAATCTGGACAAGGCAAACAAATCCGACACCAAGCAGGCCGTTGTCAGACATAACACAGAAGCCAGGCAGAAAGGAAATATGAACATTTTAGTAACCCTCACTAAGAATTTGAGAATTAAGGTGAACTGGTACATACGATCGAAGTTACTCCTTTCAGTGCATCCTTCCATGAATCAGTCGAGAACAGGTTGCCTTCAAAAGAAGAAGAAAAAAAAACTCAAATGACTAAACATTTCAACTATTAAAAGCAGAAAAGAGATTAGCATATAAATACTAGCAAGAAACAAGAATACCTTGATGCCACATCACACTGTTAGCCCAAGATTCTTGAATGGAGGATCTACCCGATCTGCAGAAGGCATAACATGATTGATTAGTCAGAAGTTACATTTGCCGAATAAACATAAACGACCATTTTCTTGAAATATAAAATAGTTCCAAATCACATATCAAGAACAAGAGGAGAGAGAAATGCTCGTGTATTTTTAATATTTTTTCTGTTCGGACAGTCTTTTAAGCTGCACAAATAGTCATCAAATGGCTCTATCCCATTAACATGAATCAGAATTTTTTATTTGAATAATTAAAGAGAGTACGCGTTTTTCAGTGGCGAATTCTCGATTGAAATCAAGTCAAAGACAATCAATGAGTACCTGCTGAGGCTAGCAACAGTCAAACCGCGATTCAAAGCTTCTTTGCAGATATGAGAGCCGACAAATCCATTTCCGCCAATCACAAGCAACTGAAATGTAAACCCGAAAAATGTTCTGAAACCTAGTAAAACAAGTAGCTAGAACTTAAAATGGTAAGAGAATATACTTCGATGAAACAACCTTCTCTGTTGGAGGGGGAGGAAGCTGTACAGTCTCTGCTTCCTCAACAATACCAGCTTTAGCAGAACCGATAGGTCCGTTGGATTTATCCGAACTAGTTGAAAGAAATCGTCCATTTCTCGAGGCGGATATACTGTTATTTTAAGATCAAGAAAATAAGCAGGATAAGAATATTGCTATGGTTGGTATCCGAGAAGGTAAATGAACAGAAGGAAGTAAAATAGCAGCAAAAAAAAAAATGAGGGATCATAAACTTATCGGGGGTATCTAAAACTACTGCTGCATTTGGTTCTATTTTTCGAGACATGTTTCACGTAAAGATGAAAAAGGGTCAAGCTAATCAATAAAAGTCAATTTCCGAAGTATCACCCATAGAATAACATTGGAACCAAAACCGAAAAAGAATTATGCCAAAGCAAACTACATTCATACGAACTTGTTATTCACATTTCTTCAAAATCAAGCAACGAAAGAAGAGATCCCTAATGTTTTTTTTCATCACCGATTCTGGCATCCACGACTCAAATCCCAAACGACTTCTAATTCCTTCACACACAAGAAAACACAGATTTCTCCATCTCACAATTCAACATAAAGTACTTAACATACCAACACCCCTCTGGTTCAATGAAATTAAGGAACAAACACGTGCAAAATTGGGCATGTCAGAAGAGCAGCATCAAGATCAAATTCAGGCCAAATTGAACCCTAAACATATCAAAATCACTGAAACGAAACAATCCAATGTCGAAATTTCGATCATAACCTTAAAAAAAAAACCCACCAAAAATCAAAGTAACTCAACCGTAACGCAAATCGAATTCAAAATGCCCACTATCAGCAAACATTATTACCAATACAGCAGAAGCCACAGATATTTCCATCACAAATTCCCCATTTTCGCCAAACAAAATTAATCCAAAAAAATAAATAAGAAACAACAACAAGCATCTAGAAAATTCAGAAAGGAAAGAAAAACTGACGAGAATCTGGATATGGCGAGCTTCGAGTGATGAATCAATCGAGCCATTTTCTATCAAGCGGATGAAAACTCTTCAGTGATCGGTGGTATTCTGTATTCCCGTTGTACGTATTCTGTATGTATAGACGGAATGCTCTTCTTTTTTTCTTTTATTTTTTCTAATTTTTCTTCAGCTTAATTTTCTTATTTTTTTTATACAAACCCACATAAAGAGTGCAGTGTCGGGAGATCCGGTATGAATTAGGTTTTAGGGTGCATACGTGGCGAGTGGCAGCGATGACACGTAGCGTCAAGATGTGGCTCGTTTTAGGCCTACCAATACAAAACTTTTCCTCACAAACCAAGTCGATTATATTAACTAATTTGTTTTATTAAATTCACAAAAACAAAATGTTATTAAAGCGTTTGGCTAAACTTATTTTAAACAACTGATAAGCTCTTATGTTTGATAAGATGTTTTAAGAGCTGATAAGTTATTATATTATTTTTAGAGTGTTTGAATAATCAGCTTATTTTCTATTTTTACTCAATATAAGATCTTAAATAAAAAGGTGGGGTAGAGATATTTTTTTTCAAAAGATCTTATTTGCTCTCCAACAACTTATTTTTAAAAAAAATAAAATCTTTTTTAAAAAAATTACCAAACACTTTTGAAGAGTTTATAAGCTCTAAAACATTTTATAAGCTCTTTTTAACATTTTATAAGCTTAGCGAAACACCCTTTAAAATAAGTTAATCTTTATGACGTGTATTAAAAAAATATTAAAATAATTAAAACTAGCCCAACTCAATTTGGGCCATTAAGACAGTTTATTTAAGGGCTGAAATTTGTTGTACTTTTTTCTGTATAGGAAGTCCATTGGATTAATGGCGGCCCATCAATTCCTTTAGCCAATTATAATTGGGTCTTGTAAATGTAATTTGTGGTGAAGTATATCGAGTAGATATGATCAAGTATACTGTTGATTGCATGGTAGGACTTTGTTATAAAATTATTTTGTTGGCCATCTATTTAAAGATTGTATGTTTAAATAAAACTAAGACTTAATAATATCAATTAATTATAGATCCTTAGGATTGATTACAAAGTTGGAACGAAAAATAAGTAAAAGGAAGTTGGAGCTTAATACAGCTGAGTCTTCTTTATCCAAATAAACACTAAATACTCACTTAGGAACACGACCAACACCACAAAAAATAACACCAGAGAACATATCTTTCAGATAAGAGTCACACTCTCTCGCACACAACCCATCCAGAAACCACAAAGGGAGATTGAAAACGAAGCAGAGCAATTTTACACACTCACCAAAGGTCCACATCTCACACATCGAGTACAATTTATGGCAAGATACAAGTGTTTAGGATGTTCTCTCGATATTACTCTCCACAAGTCCACCTTCTCCTTTAAATAGGGGCCCGAGTCAAAAGTCACCGATGAAAGGACCACCGATGAGTCAAAGACTGCCAAGTACTATGAATTTTGACCCATAGTTGACAGCGCAAAGAAGCAAGATGGCATATAAAGTGGTTGAGAAAGACATATACATGAGAAGTTAATTATCGGGACGATAAAACCTTAATCCAACAGATGCGATCAGGATCAGTTTCTCATATCACATAATCGGGCTCTTAACGTTAAATACGACTAGGCCCTCTTCGTGGAGATAGATAATTAAAATGAAATGGGCTTTAGGCCCATCGATTCATTTAAACAAAAACACAACGGCTATGTTTGGTAACGTTTTCGAATTCTTTTCACATTTTCCCAAAATAAAAATTATCTTTCTACATTATTTTCAAAAACTTTCCCCAAAACAAATTCAGATATTTCTCTCTCTAACAAACATGATTTGACTGCTACAGTGAAAATTGTCTTCACTAAAATACAAAATCAAATTACTTTATCTTTTAAATTCTTCTTCCAAAATACCTTTTCCCAACACATTTCAGACATGATTTGACTTGCTACAGTACAAATTGTCTCCTCTCAAAACACAAACTAACTTTATTTTATTTCTAAATTCTTCTCCCAAAACACTTTTTCTCCAGAATAAAATGGAAACGGAAGCCCAAAAACTTACCAAACATAGCCAACATTATCCAATTAATTGAGTCTATACATAATTATCCACCTACACGTGTAAGGTGAAATTTTATAGGGTGTCTTGCTATTTATGATTAATTTTTATTTTATTTAATAAATAAATAAAACAAGTGGCTTGAAGTGTGTTATGCCGTATGCGTATCCCAATTAGCTATATATATAATATACAAATAAAAACAGCAAAAAATGTTTAAATAACTAACAAACTTAAATTACAATATCTTGTGTAAATAAAATAATATTAATAATAATAAAATAAAAAATCTAAGCGAAGCTCCGAAGACGTTCGTAAATGATTTGATTCAGTGGGGGGTGGGCCCAGGGGTTTGGTGCTCCCTTATCTGAAAAGAGCAAAGAACAAATGGCTGACTTATAAAAATATCTTTATGACATAAATTAACCCTCTTTGGGGAACAAATGCCCCATATCTCTTTTAATTATTTCTTTACATGATTTGGGTTTTAATTATTTGATTTAACTTTTAATCAATTTATTTAATTAATTAATTAATTTAATTGCATCTCACAAGTGCCTTTGCCACTAACTATGTCTATCTTTAATGAGATATGATCCTTCTTATTATATTCCCTTTTCTTAATTTAAGTGGCTAAAAAAGTTTAATGGTGCATTAATTAACTGTCCATAGTTTTCACTTCTTATTCACTAATATCTACATACTAAATTTTATAAAAAAAAAAAAAAAAAAAATCAAATATAATTATTCTTTCAAGGATACTTTTTTTTTTATATAATTCAGTAATTATTGAACGAAACTGTATATTTAAATTCGATTATTATCCAATTTTGTAAATAGTACGTGTGCCAAATTTTCGATCAAATTGCCAAATGCTCGATACAGTTTTATCGAATGAACGCACTTACAAGTTTTTTTTCTTCCCTAAAGGAAAGCAAGGCCAATAAGGATCTTTATGGTGGGATTAATTTTTAATGATCTTTTTAATAAAATAATTTTAAAAAGTATAAGATATTAAAATAAGTGGAGATGATGTGAAATGGATATTGTTTGTGAGGGATCCAATTAATCCACAACATAGTCGTTGTCCTTTCACTTGATGTACGGTCATTTATGTATCTATGTTTGTGCTATTACATATATTCTATGCTGTAATGAAAACATAGATATGGTTGTCTTTTTTTAATTATTATTGTTGAATATTTTAATTATTATTATTGAATATTTGATATGCTCCAAATTGGGAGAGGGGCAAGCAACGCAAACATTGGGGCCTGCACGGCGGAGAGGGGGCCATCAGCTGGTGGTGCGCTGGTGGTGCTCGGTGGGTCCGGCCATTATTTTTCTTAAAATCAAGATCTATCTAGATTTCACATTAGAATAAATCCAGCACGCATTACGCAATATTATTATATATATATATATATACTTAATTAAAATTAATTAACTAGACGTTTTATTTTCATTTTATGTAAACTTCTAATTTAATCCATTTTATTAGAGTATTCAAGTGACTATATGATCTAAATTTATGATTTAAAAGGGTATTTGAGTCTTTTCACGTCAAAAGAACACATACCCAATTACGCATTTCATGCATGTAAGTGATGTAACACACGTTCAGCTCGCAGGGATCTTATTGACTTTAACTAGTGTGTATAGGGGTCTTTCCTTACCGTTTTTAACACAAAAGGGTTTTTCAGCAATTCAAGATTACCCATGGGAGGTTTTTGCAAAAAGCCCAAAAAATAATTAGGTGAGAGATCCATTTGTACATTAGACGAAGGCTTTAATATCTTGCAACTAAATAAAAGAATAAATTCGGGAAATAAAAGGAATAAATTGGTGTCGGAAATGCTAATAAGGTTGAAAATGAAACAATTTAAAAATTGAATTTAGACGTGACAATTCAAGAACAAGTTGGCCTTGATTCTAAATGCTGACTTTGGTTATAAAGTACATCCCAAATGAAGATGAGATTCTTGTAAATATTTGGGAAAATACTTTATTTTTATTATTATTATTATTATTATTATTATTATTATTATTATTATTATTATTGCAATAATTTTAGGAGACAATTTTTATTTTATTTATTTAATTATTTTTTTGTGAGAAACGCAAATCATGCTGCAAATTGAGGAAATATGAGAGGGGTAGGATTCGAATTCTAGACGTACATTTGGTAATTTTGGATGAGAATTAAATAAAATCAGGGAAAAAGAAAAAGGCAATATAGTTGTTTGTTACTTTGCCCCACAAATGTTATTCTTTATTCATCACTTGTTAATGATTGTGGTCACTTTCATAATGCCCACATTTAATCACATTGAAATAAAACAAATTGAAGTGCGTTTTCCCTGTAGCTGGGAGTATAATTTCATTGTTTTTTTTTTTTTTTTTAAATTTTAATTACAAATTGTAAGTAAATTGATGCAAAATCATATATCATGAATTATGCATATACATACATACACAGAGATCCATTCACACACATGTACATGTTGTGTGTGTGAAATCAAATGATATATAGTGCAGAAATTCCTTATGGATATAATATAGGGTAAATTACAACAACCCCCTTAAGGTATGGTCAATTTACTAAAAAACCCCTCTTGTTTGAATAATTACATCTACCCCCCTCAACTATGTTTTCTTTTACATCTCCACATTTATGGTGTCAAATTCAACATAATCATCTAGATTTCATGGAATATGCTCTAGTTTGTACTCATTTTGTGTAAAAATACAGTTTCTAATGCACCACAATCTGGTATATACAAGCCAAAAAACACATATTATGATCATCTTGCTTCAAAATGTGGAGTTCGAATGGTATAAAACGGGTACAAAAGTGATAATATTCCATATAATCTCGAAGATTTCACTAAATTTGAAACTGCAAGGATGGACATGTAAGAAGATTTATAGTTGATGGGTGATTGTAATTACCCAAACAAGACGGGAGTTTTTGTAATTTAACCATACCTCAAGGAGGTGGTTGTAATTTACCTTATAATATAATGCAATAGACTTGTAGTTGAGGTTTGGAATATAGCAAGAATGTTAGTTAATGGTCTATGACTCTATAATAACATTCCTTTTACAGTTAATATTCCAATATTTTATTCTTTTCTGGGATATATAACCTATCTCTAAATCTAAATTCATATTTTTCAAGATTTTATAAATAAATAGGCAGAACCTTAGGCAAGAATCAGAATTTTAACCATAAATATGTCAATTTAATCCAATTCATTATCCACTCCCGACTACGTAGGCCGGCGAAAAAATTCTACTGCTAATGCTAATAGTAATAAAACGTTATGACAACTTAAGAAACCCTAGTGGCCTTTTTGTAATTATTAATAAAATTTTATGTTCTCTGGTAATCTTGAAATTATACTGCTTTAAAAATTACAATGTTTTTTTTTTAAATCAAAATTTTTGTGGAGCCCTTTCAAACATTAATTTCCTAATCGTTCTTTCCATCAGAAATTGTGTCGACAAAATCTTTTTCATAAGTGAATTTACATACCGAAAAGTGAATTATATTATTTCAACTCCAATGAGGGGTGGTTCCTTGTGGACATCAAGTTCGGGTCCGCTACATTAACGGGCCGTTGAGTTACCATGATTTACATTCTTCATCAATCCTTGTCGGGCCAAGGCCCTCGGGCGAGGATTTCGTCTTTTGGTGCGAGAAATAAA